GCCAGTGAGGGGCATTTTGGGGACTCAGGGCCGGGAGCGGTGGCGCTGCCCCGGTACTCACTGGTCAGTGGGGTCCACGGGGGTGCCGCTGCCCCCGATGCCGCAGAAGCAGCCGTACCAGCTGTAGGACAGCAGGGCGCTCCTCCCCGTGGCCGCCCTGATCATCCGCTCCAGCTCCAGCACGCTGGAGCCCGCCGGGAGCAGCCCTGTGGAGGAACGGGACGGGCTGGAGCCGGGACAGAGTGAGAGGCCGGGGGTGTTCCCTGCACCTCGCACCAGGCACGGGCATTAAACTGATCTGGCATTGCTGGAAACGGGCACTTTCAGGATTTGAACCATGAGAAGCTTTATCCCCCCACTCCAGAATTTTGGAATCATTGAGTCATGGAATGGTTTGGGTAGGGAGGGACCTCAAAGCTGATCCAGTGCCACCCTCTGCCATGGGCAGAGACACCTTCCACTGTCCCAGGGTGCTCCCAGCCCCAATGTCCAGCCTGGCCTTGGGCACTGCCGGGGATCCAGGGGCAGCCACAGCTTCTCTGGGCACCCTGTGCCAGGGCCTCCCCACCCTCACAGGGAGGATGGCTTTTACAGTCTGGCTTTTACAGCCACTGGATTTGGTCTGGCACAAGATCTTTTGCCCTCTGGACTGGCCCTGCCATGCTGCAAACTGCAATCCCCCATTGCCAGGGTCAGCCATGGGCCTGGCATAGGCAGAAAAAGGCGACAACAGGCTCCAGGGCCTCCTAAAATAAATATTGGCATCCCAAAGCCTCCCCATCCCAAARCCCTCCAGGACTGCAGAAGTTCTACACAAAGCACTGGAGAGAAACTGYCAGATTTAAACAAAACCTTGTATAGTGCACAAAGACTCGGGGTTTGTGCGTGGATCCCAGCCTGGCCGGGGACAATGGAGCACTTACCACAGGCCAGGAGCACGGCAAGGAGGAGATTCCTCATCCTGGGGCTGCCCTGGAGAGGGAACAAGGGCAGGAGATGAACTGGGGCAGGACAGAAGCTCCTGCAGTGCCCATACAGAGACACAGAACCAGCTGGGTGCACCCAAACTATACCCCAGGTGACATTTGTGTCACCATGGATGTACAGCGCTGTAAGGCATCACCGAGGGAGTCCTGACGGTTCTTTATCCCAATTTTTGGATGTGATGCTCAGCAGGGATGCGGTGGCCAGTCCTGCCCGGGGCTGGTGGAGCAGCTCAGGACCTGCAGCCCTCCCTCCTCCCCATCCCCTGGGCTGCCTGAGGAGCAGCAGAGCTGTGGGATCCCCGGTCCTTACCCCGCCCGGACCTGCGGCTCTCCTGGTGCGGCTCAGCGGGGTGGGTTTATATCTCTGCCGGGGCCCACCCCTTCTCTGTSTGTGCTGACAGAGCTGGGCTGGCCTGGAGCAGGGAGCATCCCATCTTGTCTTCCCCAAAAATGTGAGTTTTCCCATAGCAGCGAGCACCAGTGCTTCCTCTGTCACCTCACTCATCGCTGTCTTCGTCCCTGTGTGAGGCCAATCAAAACCTTGGCCAAGGTTTTAAAATCCATGGGATTTAGTGGCTGGAGAGATGGGATAGAAGTGATTTACACCCAGGATGGSACCTCAAAGGATGTTGAATCCTTGTCCCAGGTGCAGGGGCAGCACTTTGGGCTCAGTGCTGTCTCAGGTGGCTCCTTGGTTTTGTCAGCTCACACTCTGAAGCCTCAAAGATGGTTTTCTCTTGGCTCCTTCCTTGCAACTTCACCCCAAATCCATGGCTGCATCCAAATCTGGCCTTTCTAAAGCGCAAGAGAGAACAGCAAGCAACAGGATTGTAATTCCTGGGTCTGCAGTTTTCCTGTTCTGYCCTCTGTGGTTTTCCTGTCTGCCCAGAGTGCGGGGGTGAGGGGTCTGTGAAATTAAACCACCAGCAGCAAAGGCTGGAAAAGCCACAGAAACCTGACTTGGAATGCTTTGAGAACAGAGTTTATTTAATTCCCGTGACCCAAAYATGATACAGAGTCACGGGGGAGGCAGAAAACCAGACGAGATAAGGAACAAAAGCTGCTGTTCTCCCTCCAAACCGTGGGGCCAAAAGCAAACGCAGACACAAACACAGGTATCGGGCCCCACCCTCAGCGATTAACCACGCTCCTGGAGAAGAGAATTTGGCATTGGGAATTGTAAAGAAATGACTCACAGGTCTGGAGTCGAGAAAAGAAACCTTTGTTGAAATTCCCAGGAGCCACCAAAGCTGGCACTGGAAGGGACATCACCTCTCGGCTGCCCTCCAGGGTGGCAGAGCTGTTCCGGGGTTTTCCTCTTCTCTAACCTTGTATTTCCTGCTGCAAGTGGAGTAAAACCCCACCCCAGCCTGTTAAGGATGGGGAGCAACCTCTCACCTGCCTCCCCACTCGCCAGCTGCACAAGAAAMCACCCCAAAATGCCACAGTGACAGCCCCAACCCCTGCTTTCCCYACCTGCCTTTTAAAACCAGGGTATCTCTAATAATTAATTGATTAATTTCCCCCTTTTCCACTTCCTCCATAAAATACTTCCACTGCAGAAGGTTTTCCCCACTGTRGTAATCATTGTCTGCTCTGCTCCTGCTTTGGCGTTGCAGGTCCTTGGTTTTTTKGGGGAAAGATCTGGGGTTTTGCTGTAGAGTTTGAATAATCTGTGTGAAAAGCATTGTTCAGGGGTGTAAATAGAGAGCAGAGGGCTGGGATCACATGGTTTTAGAATCCACACGTGTTTTTAACCAAATTCCCTCTTTTGAAGTGCTCCCTCTCCGTGGAGGACCTCACAGGAGCACCCACACGAATCTAAACCCTGTTTTTAACCAACCCACAAACTTGAGAGCTTGAACACCACCTCCGGAAAGTGATTATCCCGTTGGAAATATGGAACCTCTCAGCCTTCCTGTGGAGCAAGCAGAGCCGGGAATCACCCACCCCTCTGTTTGCTGAGGGCCTTATTGAAGTGTAAATCCACCGCCAGCTTTGATCAGCAGCACGCCTGTTTTCCCGGCAATATCACCCAACTTCCTGGGCTGGAGGGAGCTGATAGGGGGCTATTGTTCTATTTATTTTATTTATTTTTAGTGCACAGGTTCGCCTTGATCTTCCCAGCCCRCAGGGTGGAGACCCCGGGTTTATGGTGGGTATTTATCGCTCGGTTCTTGCTGCCCTCGATGGGCATCTGTCAGTGGGAGCAGCACTGGGAGTGGGTGAATGGGAAGGGATGGAAATGTCAGTGTTATGTGGGGTGTTCCCAGAAGGAAAACTGACCCAGGCATCATTTATAGCTCGGGAGGACTCCCCCTCCCTCCCGGCTGGAGCTTTCCCAGCACAAAGAAACTGCCCCAAAAGAGTTGTTTTAGGTTCCTGTGCGATCTTGTGAACAAAGTGTAATTTTTAAAAGGTGCTTTTGTCAGAATTCATGAGTTTGGGGTTTATTTGTTGTGTTTTATTCAGTAGTCACTGAATGTCACAGGGAGGTTAAACTCTGTCTTGTCCTCTCATCCTGCTGCCTTTGCTCAGGACAGGCTGTAATGCCTTGGTCTTAAACTTTCAGGGTTAAGCCCCAAAGATTAGGGTTTTTAAGCAGGGTGACAACATTGTGGTTTTGCTTTGGGTGGGTTGGAGGAATGAGAATTACTGCAGGAGGGCTGGGACAATCTGGGTATCAGAATGTGGAGTCTGGGAGAGAAGCCTGAGCCACCCCAGGACATGGCCGTCCCGAAAATTTCCCGTTTCCGTTCTCGTTCTGTTCCCATCCCCATTCCCGTTCTGTTCCCATTCCCGTTCCCATTCTTGTCCCCGTTCCCATTCCCCGTTCCCATTCTTGTCCCCGTTCCCACTCCCCATTCCCATTCCCATTCCCTTTCCCATCCCTGTTCCCATTCCCATTCCTGTTCCCATTCCCATCCCCGTTCCCGTTCTCGTTCCCATTCCCGTTCGCATTCCCGTTCCCATCCCCGTTCCTGTTCCCATTCCCTTTCCCATCCCTGTTCCCGTTCCCATTCCCATTCCCATCCCCGTTCCCGTTCCCCTTCCCGTTCCCGTTCCCGTTCCCGTTCCCGTTCCCATTCCCATTCCCATTCCCATTCCCGTCCCCGTTCCCCTTCCCGTTCCCGTTCCC